TTTTTTTTTGTCTGTCAGCTGGGCTTTGGCTGTGTCATCAATATTTCAGTTTAGCAACAGCTTTATAGTCTTTATTGATAAAAGCCAAAGTCTAAATATTGCAAGACATTTAGCAATGCCAATATAAATGGGAACTCTCAGTTGTGCAAGGTGCAGTTATTGATGTTTTTATTAGCAATCCTTATATAAGAGCACAGAATGTCTTCCTTGTCACTGCCATGACATGGAAATGAGGAAAATGCCTGTTGCACGTAACTAACAGTTCTGAATGAACACATCTCTGTCCTGTGAGTAGCCACAAGCATAATGTAAATATGTTTAAGCACAGTGTCTCAGCAATGTGGCTTTTTGCATCTTTGCCTATCAATGATTCTTCTCCTGTCCTGGCTATGGAAATGGAGCAGAACGAAATCTGATGTCAGGAAGTTATTTCTCCAGCTGCTTAAAAGAGCAGTTCACATACATGAACCCTGACCCTGCTGAGTTCCTTCAATATATGTTATTGTATCTATTCAGGGAAAGGCTCATGAGGACACTATAGGGACATTCTTTGAGAAAATTGTTTTCTTAGAATTTTGAGTAGCCACTGTAAAAAGCCTGAACTTTTATCTGTGTTATTTTTCCTCCTGCTCTGCTTTATAAACAAACATGACACTTTATTCTGCAAAGTGATTTCTTTCTGAGTTATAGAACCACACAAAAAGCATACAAAACCCACAAACTGTATTATTTTTGGATTCTTGAAACTCAAAATTGATTTAAACCAAGTTCAGACAACAATATTTCCTCTCTGTCTGAGAAACTATATCCTGGGTTTCTGACTAAAGTAAATTTTTATAGGCATGTTGTAATTATAAACCCTTGAGTAACGGATTTTGTAACAGGGACACTGGCACAAAACTTCACTGTAGTTACTCGCTGAGTGCTGATGTGAAGAGGCTGAAAATCCATTCTCCCAAGAAGGAGCTTATTAAAAGACTGCAGTAGTTTTAATGACATTTCTTGTGACATCAAAATTATTTTGTTTGGAATCACAGAGCATCTCTGCTTCTACGTTTTTGATGGTCCAAGGAGAAAACACTGCTGCAGCCTCAGAGCTATGAGCAGTGACTGAGGGAAGCAATCCAGAGATATAAATCTCTGCTGGTGCACATATCCTCTCATGACAGGAGATGTAAATTAATCTGTTTAATTAAAGCAGCATGTAATAATCATCACCAGGAAGGCAGGAGATGTGTTTGGAAATACCATACAGGCTTTACAAATTATCTGGGTTCAGCTTTTCCTCCTAAATTGATGAATAATAGCTGAAACGTCAGTAATAGCTGAACTCGAGGACTTTTGCCTCACATCAAGATGTATTTGGTGACTTATGTTTTTATCCAGTTTTGTAAAGGTCCGGGATTGATTTTCTTGCACTATTTCAATCCAAATGGGTATTTTCAAGTAATATCCATTTCTGATTGGACTGATCTTTGTAGTAGTTATCTCATGTAATTTGTATACATAAATTTAAATTAAATGATGGTAAAGTGCTTGGCCCAGATATATTGTACTGTCCTGTTCAGTTGATCAACCTTAAATTACACTTCTCAGCTATACATGCATGCAGATACTTTGCAAAGATGGATAAATAGCTTTATCATAATTTTAGAGGTGTTCAAAGGCAAGAGTTAGCCCCAAAGCAAGTACGAGCTCAGAGGCAGAGGTCTAAACTGCAGCCTTCTCCACTGTAACACATAGTCCTCTCCTACATCCTATATCCACTGAAGCAAAATTTTCACCTACTTCAAAGCAGGATATCCAGCCTCTGTCAGCAAGTTCAACTGGTTTTCTTCTGATCCTCCTGGGTTTACTCACAGGAGGAATGGGCTAAAATCTTACATGGTCTCAAATGAGATGTATGAGACAAGTGCTGGAAACAACATACAGGGAAGGGAAGAGTGATTGGTAAAGCAGTCAGACTGTTGCAGGCTGCGGCATGTGAAATGGCACAGTTTGTATTACAGTCCTTGCTTTTTTAGGGATTGTTGGCATTGGTTATTTAATCAGACAGACAATGAAGTGGGAAATGGAAAACCACAGAAAACTCAACTTCTCCCACTGGGCCTAAGGGTAGCCAACAATAGCTGCATGAATTGAATAATGGGGCTGGACAAGTTTTCCAAAGTTTTTCAGAATCTCCAAGGAATTTTTGGCACATACTCTGAGAGAAGAACCATGTTAGTCTGCCTTGCTCTGTGCCAGTTCCCTCATACATGCACAGCTAATGCAGGCACCTTGGGACTGAACCCAGCTCCTTCTGAAATCAACAGTAAAGCTCCTACCGGCTTCAGTGGAGGCAGGATTTGTCCCTTTGTGAGATGATCATATTTAAATTCAATACCCTGCAACTCAAAAGTGAGGATTAGCAGAATTAAACTCTCCTAATTTGTATATCACAGGCTGCCAAACTGCAATTAACTTTTGTGCATTTGAATTAACAGGGAAAATTATTAAACACCCTTTCCTCATGTAATTATCATTTTACACTTCTGGAAAATTTCTTCTAAATATGAAAAGTAGCCCGCACCCCTGTGAACCTATCCCTCTTAATATCCTTTAGTTATTAGAGCAGGAAACAATTTTTCACCCCATTGCTTTCATATGCAAGAGATGCTTGCCCAACACCACTGCTGTGCTGCACTGGTTCTCTTTGCTTTGTATTGGCCTAAGGCTGGCCACTTTTCACAGGGGAACAGGACTCAAAGCTTTAAATTCACCCAAGGATAACACCTGTGTGCACAGCCCTTGGCAAATATTACAACGAGCTTCTATTTTGTGTTGGTTTTAACCATGCAATGTGCAGGCTCAAAATTCCCCCCCCTTCTTATCCTGCGCATCTAAGAAGGACACCTCTAAAAACCCAAGGTTTTCCCTGGGCACAGAGCTACAGGTTGGCATGGCAGAATAAAACCAGCATAAAGCAAACAACTTTCTGCCTTATTTTCTGCTCTTCTCTTGCATGTGCTGGCCAGACTATGCTCTTGCATAGGGCTAATGAGGGTCCAGTCAGTGCCAAAAGTTTGCAGAGCATCTGTTTTCCCATGTAAATTTTCCTTGAGCTCTAGCACACCCTCTTCACTGTATAAAGAGTGATGGCCATTTTTCCTTAAAATTTTAGTTTACTGGGAAAAATACCATCTTAGACTTCTTTTTATTTTATTGGGGGTGGGGAAAGTATGCAGGAATGGGTAGATTTTGATTTATGTATCACCCTTTTATAATAAATATGTCTATAACAACATAATGAAATTGTTGAACAAAAGTTCTTTTCCAGAAGAATAATCTTCAACTGGTGCGAAATGCCTCACTGGGATTTTGTCAGGTTTTAATTTCAGTTTGAATAAATAGTGTGAGACACCAGGCTGGGGAAGATAAAGGTGAATTTCATCTGCTTCCAGCTTGTCATAATGGAAATAATAACTACATTAGCCGAAAACAAGTTTCCAATTAGTTTCCCTAAAATAATATTATCCTCTTTTTTTTTTTATAGATACTGCAGCTCATTTTGGAACCTAATTTTGCTAATATATAAACATCACTAAAACAGCTATTCCCACTGAAAGAATGACAAGTACAGACTTTGGCAGCGCATTTTGGGAGCCTGCCTGTACTGAAAAGCAGTCTTTGCTTTTCTTGAATTGAATCTTAAACAATGAAAAATTAAAAATCAATTTAAAATCTTCTTTAGGGTGAAGACCTCTTTTCTGATACACATTATTTTAAATGGCTAGATAGCGATAATAAGAAAAGACATTCTGGAATTACAAAATACATCTTTTCTGGAAAACACTTTTTTTTTTTAAAGAAAAATTAGTGTGCTTTATGGGGAGTTCCTCAAGTCACGTGAAAGGTGAAACAATGCTGGCTTTTAAATGAAGCTGAAATTGGCTGATCTATAGATCACATTAAATTCAGAGACCAATACTAATATGGTGCACAAAAAAATAATCACAAGACTAGGTTAATATGCTTGAAATGATCCTTTGAAGGGATGTAACAGATCTATGTTCTGTTCAATCACACCCAGTGATCTCTTCTATGACAACTGTCATCTCACATGCCTGTACAGTGTAAAAAAAAATAGACTGTTACTATTTAGGAAGTTGCTTTTTTACACAAGAAGAAAAAGCCAAGCTCTGGTATCCTATGCAATGCACTATACTCAGTGAAATAGTGCTCATGCAATGGCACTGCGTGATCTGGCACTCTCTTCAAGCCTCTGTGGAGCCTCCAGCTGGTAAGCTAGCTGGTAAACACATCCCTGCAAAGGTCACGTTAATGCTGAACAATGCTCCATGGTTTACCCTAGATTTTGCGTGGCTGCATATGTTTCACAAAAATCCCATGCCTCTGCCCTCTGCACTGCAACTGCATTCCGTCAAAACACAGCAGAACACTGAGATGAGTTTTAAAAGCCCCCAAAAGAAGGGCAGTTTGGTCAAATGCACAGCTGCTGTAGGGCACACCAAGGGCTTTCAGCTGCTTAAAGCCATGGGGCTTGAGGCACATGCCATAGCAATAGCTATTTAATTGAGCATAGCATCACAGCACAGGATTATTTTGTTAGCTGTTCTGACTAATGCAACGTCAGTGTGATTGTTTCTGTCTCCACAGTGGTTAATAACAGCAGCAGCACTTAGGGTATCGTGTGCATGGCTTGAGTTCTGATCCTATGTCAAGGAAGCCAATATGTGTGGCTCCATTGCTTTATCCCTCCCTGCTGAAGCAAACTAAAAGGGATACTATTGCACAGAATTTCAAAGACGAGCAACAAGGCAGCGTGAAGTAAACCAGATGTTTTAAGCCCCACATGTTTAATTTAAAAGCTATATTCTATAGTGTATAAACCTGTTATTATTGCACGTACATATATGTGCAAAACTTTAGGGGGAAAATATCTTCTGTGAGGCACTGGTAGTTCCAGTGATGTTTTTCTAAATTTTGATGTTTTACAGCTGTAATTATGGAGCTACATGTGGAGAATAATGGGAAATTATTTCATGATGAAAGACTGGACAAATAGCTGGTATCTGCGTTTTGTGAATGTGGATCATGCTGGCTCATACCGACTCGGGTGTGAGATTCTTCTAATTCAGTATGTTGTCTCTGCCAACAGCCAACATGAAATACTGTGGATGAAAGTATAAAGATCATAAAGGAAGCAGTTGTAAAATAATTCACTCTTCACACTAGGTCTCAGCCTTCCTTTGCTTTGTAAAGTTTTGCTATCCAAATTTTATAGGAGGGAATGATTACAGCAAGTAAATCTCAGCCTTCTGGTGTGACATGGTGTTAACAAGAGACTCTTTCAACTCTTGTGATGGTACAAAAAAGTCTGTCATAAGCTGCCACATAAACTGCCTTGTCAACAACCAGGCTGGCATTTGCCTGTAGAGGCGTTCAAACAAATCTGAAGTAAAACATTTACAACTATCACGTGCTGTTTGTAGATGTAGATCTCTGAAAAAAGCCTCACCACCACACGAGTTGCAATAAGTAATTATGCCAGCACAGGTAGCTTTTCATGAAGAGAAAATAAGGAAACAATAGCAAAGCAGGAAGCTGTAAGTATCAGTTGCTTTTTGTATAACATGCAAAGTCTACCAGTTAACCTACAGCAAAAGCAACATTTGCATTTGCTTCATCTTGTGTTGTAGAAGATACTGTATGTGTGCTTTACAGAAGTATGGTGTGCACAAATGAAAATATGGCACTAACTTGGCAAACCTGAGCAAGGTATTTTTGCAATTAAGAAGAAAAGGTGAAGAAGACCATACTTACAGTGCATAAGATTGTGTGAAAGCTTCTCTGCAGGGCCCAGCCATTCAGAGTTAAGCCAGATGTTGACCTATTTTGATTTTTACTGCCTAAGTAAATGGGCATTACTGGGGAATTCTATAATGCAGTTAGCAGAAGCTGATGTGGTGTTGACAGGAACATGCAGGGGGACTGTACTGAGGCTTTTGACACCTAATCAGCTCTTTAATCGCAGTCCTGAACTTCTTCCCTGGAGATACAGTGGTACTAAACTCAGCAAGAGCAGCAGCATTCTTCAAATGGGATTAGCTCATAGATGTGCTATGTTGAAATCCCACCTTGCCCAGCAGAAAAATGAAGGTATTTTTTTACAGACCTGTGTATTACTGAGTGGAAGGTAAAAGGAGTCCTTTACTTGGGAGCTTAAATGGAATATGAAGTTTATATTCCATGAAAACTGTCTTATGAAAATGTGCATTAAATGGGTTCTTAGAAATGTGCAGCCCAATAAATAAAACTGGTAATTTTACCCATACAATAAGAGAACGAGTCAGCGATGGTGTGAAAAAATAAAGGAATGACAGGGAAGCTTCATCACCGGTATGCTGAGGGTCTTCTGTACTTTGGGCAGGGAAGGGGACCTGACATTTTGTCAAGCTTGTGAGTAGAAATCATTGGCTGGAAACCCAGTAAAACTTATGCTTGATGAAATGGAAACTTAAACCCAGCATAAACAGAGCCACTCAAGAATAATGGAATGAAGTTTTAAAAGGCTTTGGTGCATTCCAGGTTCAGCACCAGCAGCTGAATTTACATACTGCAGAAAGGCAGCTGCAGAGGTGGGAACTAAGAAAATGCTCTTAGAAATTGGAGTGCAAAGCTAAAAGGATCCCAGGAGAGTGATAGCAAATTCAGAGCTGCTGAATGTCTCCAGATAATCCTTGAGGATTTTGAGTTTCTCTCAGTGCCTTCCATGCAGAAAGAAAAGAGTTAATAAATATTGTTCAGTGCCTGGGGAATTGTTCACAAGGCATCTTTTGGAAGAGTAACCTTCATATTTAGAAGTATTTTCTCATTATGGGTAATAGGATGATGAACTGAGAAATGATCTCAGCCACTTACGATTCTAAAAGCCCCTAGCCTGAATAATCTATGCTGATTTAGAGATAATAGCATCAAAGACATAACTCATTTAGCACAATATCCATGTAATCAAAAAAATGACAAGTGTGCAATGAGAAATACTCTGTCCAGGACTGTTCTAAAGACATACCAAACCTGCTCCTAATGACGTGTGATACAGATGTTGAGAGACAAAAAAAGAGAGCATTTCCCATTGTGGTGCGTCCACCCTGCCTGGAGGCCTGGTGCCCACCAAAGGCATTCTATCACTCCTCAGCTGGACAGGGGAGAGAAAATATAACCAAGGCTGGTGGGTCAAGATAAGGACAGGGAGACATCACTCACTGGTTACCTTCATGAGCAAAACAGACTCCATTTGAGGAAATTAGTTTAATTTATTACCAAACAAATCAGAGCAGGATAATAACAAATAAAACCAAATCTTAAAAATACCTTCCCCCTACCCCTCCTTTCTTCCTGGGAGTATCTTCACTCCCAAATTCTCAACCTCCTTCCCACCCAGTGGCAGAGGGGGACAGGGAGTGGGGGTTATGGTCACTTCATCACACGTTGTCTCTGCTGCTCCTTCCTCCTCAGGGAAGACTCCTCATACTCTTCCTCTGCTCCAGAGTGGGGTTGCTCTCATGGGCTGCAGTCCTTCAGGAACAGACTGCTCCAGTGTGGTGTCACATCTCCTGCAGCATGGTCTCCTCTCTTCACAGGGCCACAGGTCCTGCCAAGACCCTGCTGTAGCATGGGCTCCTCATGGAGTCACAGCTTCCTTTGGGCATCCCCCTGCTCTAGTGTGAGGTCCTGCACAGGCTGCAGGTGGATATGTGCTGCACCATGGACCTCCATGGGCTGCAGGTGGAGATTTGCTCCACTGTGGACCTCCATGGGCTGAGTGGCACAGCCTGCCTCACCATGGGCTGCACCATGGGCTGCAGGGAAACATCTAATACAGTGCCTGGAGCATCTCCTCCCTCCTTCCTCACTGACCCTGGTGTCTGCAGAGTTGTTCCTCTGACATAATCTCACTCCTCCCTACAGCTACAATTGCTGCTGTGCAGTAATAATTTTCCCTTCTTAAATATGTTATTGGAGAGGCACTGCCACTATCATTGATGGGATCGACCTTAGCCAGTGGCAGGTCCATCTTGGAGCTGGCTGACATTGGCTCTGCCAGATGCAGGGGAAGCTTCGAGCAGCTTCTCACAAAAGCCACCCCTGTATCCCCCCTGCTACCCAAACCTTCCCATGCAAACCCAATTCCGCATTCCGCAGTCATTAAAGTAAAACAGACTAAGAGGATGGTTTTGTGTGCAAGACACTGCAGCAGCACTTAAAAGATGAGAGTTGCATACTCCCTGTGCCAATGAGAGTGCTTGCTGCTTCACTGCTGGGTTTCTCTTTGGTAAGGAAGTGATGCTAAGCCTTGATTTCACTGCTGCACCTGCTTAGACTAAGCTTTTGGAGGCAGAAGTCATCTTTTATCATGTCTCTGTTCAGGGTCTAGAAGAACTATCTCTCTACTGTGGGCTCTATGTTCTCCTGTCACACATGTGGTAGCACACTAGCAGAGGCAGCTGTTCCTAATTGCTCAGGATCACAGCCAACAGTTTCCCTATTTTACTTCCAAGTTCTTATGATTGTAACATCTTATTTTCAGCTAAAGTGTTTTCCCACACAGGCTGACCTGAGGAACTCTCTTCCTGCATTTCCATTGGGCTTTTTCAAATGCCGATTAGATAATCATAAATCATCTTTCAAGTCTTTCTTTTTTTATCCACATCATAGAGATTGTGCTTCCTTGTGTCCCATTGTTTTTAGGCAGGTTTTGTATCTCCTGAGATGATCACTGCAGAGATTACTCATAAACTGCATCATCCTGAGTGACTTGGGTTCAGGCATACGGACAATGGAATCAACACTTGCAGCACTGCAGTGACAAAGAACAAACGTTTGAATTAAGACAGGAGGGATATTAAGAAAGGAGACTGTGATTTATGTTTCTGCGTTTTTAGGACAGAGCTGATGATACAGCTGAGCCAATAGAATGCTGGTTGCCCCAAAAGGGGCAATCCTTATCCCTTCTCTTCTCCACTCCCAAATGCCCACTCCCAGTGGAAATACTAAATTTTGACATCATGCTTGAAAAAATGTCTGTCTGCATTCAAACTGATCCTTCCAGTGTGGAGTTTTGGCATGTTTCTTTCCTCTAACCAACTCTTCTGTGTTATGGACACAGCCTTACACACAGAGACCAAAGTTGGAGAGCAGCCTGGTGGTGCAATACGTGTATGAGCAGCTGTCCATCTCCACCTCACTTAGTACCCTGAGGTTTTGTATTCCTCCAATTCGTTTTCTCCTGTGCAGAGGCCTTCTGCAGTGAGATCCCTGTTTGATTATGTAATAAATCCATGAATTATTAACAGTGTATAAAATATTGACAAACTGTTCTCTAAGATAGAACAGCTTTAAAGTATCGATTATGAATCCAGAGAATTATAATTAGCTTCTGCATAAGAGATAATTATTACTATTTCTCTTTCTTCTAATATGGTGATGGATAAAAGGTATTTATACTGAACTCTATGAAATCTTATTAAAATTAAGGCAATAGGTTTATGAGCACTCAAGATAATGAGAAAATAAAGCATGATCGGGAAGTGTTTGTATTTTCAAAGAGCTCAGCTGGCAACGTCCCCTTGTGGAAATAAATCACTTCAGGTTTGCTCTGAGGAAAGTCCTGGGCACAGAGATGTGATCGACTTCATCAGAGTCAGAATCTTGTTTCAGTTTGGTTTTACCAGAAATTAAGCTAAAGCTACCGTGCTTTGTGTATTTGTTCACACTTTGAACGCAGGGGCTGACTTCAGTCAAATTTAGCTGGGGGGACAGTCTTACAGATACTTAGCTTCTACAGGTTTTATGCAAGCTTGCCGGCAACACCGTTGTACTGTTAGTTTAGCTCTCATTAGGCATTGGAAAATTCACGACGGGGCTCAATTTCAAGCCAGCATGACACTGGTAACTAGTTTTTGTGGATTCTGCTGGTTCAAAGTGATTTGTTCATCCTTCAAGTTACATGGTTTTGCCACTAGACTGTGCCTTATGGAAATGTAATTTTATTCAGTGGGACTTCCAGCATGGACAGAGAGTTCCCAGGTAGAACCAAGCAAAAGGGACTCATCCTCCCTGATGTCTCCCAGTGTTCAGTCACAGAGCCCTTGGTTGTATTGCCTCCATAGTGAACAGGGAGAATGGTTTTCTTCTCAGGTATAATTCAGCTGAGCAAGTCTGGGAAGAGACAAATCACTGTAGGCATTTAAACTTAGGGAAGGTGAATGCCATCCATGGCATGTGATGTTGCAGTGGAGCCAGTATGAATGTCAGGTATGGGAAGCAGAGGGCTCTGCTGGAGAAGTGTCTGCCTCTCAGTTGATCCAGTTCTGCTCACCTGCCTGCTTCTACTCTCTTTGCCTTTTCTATGCTGTTTGTAAGGAAAGAACAAGATCCAGTCATGTGCAGGTTAAATCCAAGAACTGGATGAGAAC